AAGGGTGTTTATGATGTTGGAATAATGCTCATTATCCATTTGCAGATAAGGCTTAATTTAGTTGGCTGAACTGTGGCAAGTAACTGTAATTAATTGTTGTTCAGCCACCCTTGCTTTAGCCAGGTTACTGTCTGCTGTCGACCGCATAGAGTGGTTTGTTATTTTTATTTCTTTCGTACTTAATTCTGCCTTCTCTGCTGCTTCTTTAGTCCATTTCGAAAGTTAGTTTTTTCCCACGGGAGTGCTGACTGGTGCTGTCATAATTTTTCCATATAAAAACCATTTGTAATTCAAAATTGCGCGTTTGTGGTTGATAGAAATTAAGACGAGGGAAATGGTCGATTTGTAAACCACGCGATAAGTTTCACAGGTTACATTAGATACGGTTGAGCGAAACTTTTTTGACAATTTGGTTACAAGCCGTTTGAATAACAATGCTAGAACATGGCTTATTTATGTTTCCTGGCCTAATTATAGTAAACACCCAAAAATAATAAGCATGGAGATGGGAAACATTTATTGATCCTACACAGGTTTAACTGAATAAGGTGACAAGGAATACCTCAGCACCGGTTGTTGGGTGTTACAGTACAATTACGGATTGCAATTCAATCCCGCGGGTTTAATAGGCCGCCATTTATATAATAATTATATAATATAATAATTTCTAGGTTTTCGGTTAATGTCGTGGTTGTAACTTTGTGTTAATTTTTTCCCAGAATCCGAGACATTTTTTTCCAAAATAGAATAGCCAATAGTTGTTAATTTTTTCACGATTTCTCTTCCCTCACTGGACCGATTCCTAAAATCAAATAATAACAAAATTAATATAATTGGAACACAACTTGCAAAAACAACGTTGTTATCAGTCCTTGTTTGATAGATACATATATACATACACTCGTATCAGTCGCAGACAACATGATGCACAGGATGCTCCGTACGCAAATGTACCTAGTAAAATGGTAGGTAGTATGGACCGAGACCTTCTGATATCTGAAAATAAAATAGTTCTAAATTACATATACCAAGTGACATATAAATCCGAACACCCAGTTTAAATGGTTTTATTTTAATAAAAGTTGGTGAATGTATTTATCTTACTGTAAATAACAAGTGAAAAAATTTTCAGCCTTATCAGTTGGACATTCCGGTTTTTATACTGCTTTTTTTTAATTCACTAACGCTCTAAAAATGAATATTTCAGCCGCAGTAAAGAATCAACGTTGGCGGATTTTGGTTCTTGACATCCTTTACGATCGGTGACGATGCCTAGAGTAGACCTGTACGATTTCGTCAACTTAGTGAGTTTGATAGGGGCCGTATAGTGGGACTTCGGGCAGCTGGACTTTCTTTTCGGGCAATTGCAGTTAGAGTGCAAAGAAGTGTAGACACTGTGGTTAGGTGTTGTCAAGCATGGCTTCGAGAAGGCCGTACGCAAAGAGCAAGGGGCACTGGAAGCCGCCGTAGAACAACAGACCGTGAAAATCGCCGCCTAAGTTATTGGCCTTAAGGGACCGTTTCTCCACTACCAGGTCCATTGCAAATGAATGGTTTGCAGAACACGGAAGACCTATTGGCATGCGAAGTGTTTACCGACGAATGAGAAGTTTTGGCTTGTTTTCATACCGGCCACACTGGGTCCTCCCTTTAACTCGAGAACACCGACGTAATCGCCTTGAGTGGTGCAGACAACGGTCACTCTGGGATCAGGAATGGAACAGTATTGTCTTTAGTGACGAGTCTCGATTTTGTTTAGGCATGCACGATGGTCGTGCCAGGGTTAGAAGGCGACGTGGTGAAAGGAGGAATCCACAGTTTTTGTTGTAAGACATGTTCATCACACTGTTGGAGTTATGGTTTGGGGTGCTATAGCTTATGGTTCCAGGTCACCTTTAATCTTCATCAGAGGTAACATGAACGCGCAGCGTTATATCCACGAAGTTCTAGAACCCCATCTTTTACCCTATCTTGACTCCCTGGCAGATCCAACTTTCCAACAAGATAATGCCCGACCACATGTTGCAAGAGTCACAATAGACTTCTTTCAACATAATGATGTCACATTGTTACCATGGCCACCAAGATCTCCCTTATCCCCAATTGAGCACGTGTGGGATATGATGGGTAGGAGATTGCTCAATTTGCAACGTCCTCCTCAGACTGTAGAAGCACTTCGAGAGGAGTTGGTGGTTGCCTGGAATGAGATACCACAAGAGGACATTGACCACCTGATCAGAAGCATGCCTAGGCGCGTTGGAGAATGCGTAGCACATCAGGGTGCATCCACACATTATTAAAGGTCAAAGGGCTTTAAAGCAGTGCAATCATTTTGAAATTTTTATCATTTACTTATTATGCTTCATCACAAAATTTTATTAAAATAAAGCCATTTAAACTGGGTGTTCGGATTTATAAGTCACTTAGTATATCTCTGGCAGAACCGATTTCGTTGAAATTTTTCACGGTAACGAAGGAGTCTTAAAATTAGACAAGCGGTTGAAAAATCCAAGGCCGAATTCGATTTTTTCACTTTAAGATAAAAGGGAAACTTAGTGTTATGCACCCTATTTACTTGTTTCGGTAACTTTTTATTGATTCAAATTTACCAACTGGTATTGTACAAAAGCATGAGTTTTCACATAAAATGACATTCAATATGCAATTCTACTAAATTTGACCTTACAAACCAACTTGAAATGAAGTACCTCAAGTCTTCAAAAACGTAGTATGCAGGTCCGGGCTTGACGTTTAATAGTGTATAATTGCATCTAACGTAGAGTGGTGGTGAGAGCACGAAAACGTAACTATGCTGGAAATGCTGAGTCTGCACCTGTATTTCACATTTTTCCACATTTTCGTTTTGTGTGTAGTCTTGAATTTGCCTGAAGAGTCAATTCGGTGCATTTATATACTAAATACCGTTTCCCTTTAAAGCAGGACTCATGTTAATTGGTAGAATTAAATCAGTTAAAATTACAGAAAAAACTAAATATAATAATTTTCCCTTCTATCTATATAACGTATTCATCTTTTCTCTACAAAATAATAATGCATTCAGAGTATAGCTCACAGGCACAGGAAACAAAAAAGGACTCTACCCTGGATATTCGAGTTCGCAAAATATCTGTAGTTCCATAAATAAGTATATTAAACTAAGTAACCAAAAGGGCCGTAATCGATCGATTTTACTAACTAATCAGCATCATTCAGTGCCCTGATTCGTACATAGTCAAGGTGTTGATAAAAACAAAAAAGTGAAAAAGATGAGTCCGAACCTGGATTCTTTTAATGTTCGTCTACCTTTATGTTACTCCTAACTAACTTAGCTATTGCGTAAATTTTCGACACAAGGATTATAGTGCTTGAGATATGTGACGTTAAAGATTTGGCGTGAATATCCGTAAACACTGAATTTAGAACCTTTTTACTTCCACATATTAAAAGGTTTCGATCCATAGTACTTACCACTTCCCTATGTCAGTTTAAGTACGGAAGAACTTTTTTACATCTGTTAAAAAGCATCTAAAGAATAGAATCTAGGTACCTATCGTTGATTCGATCTAGAGACGTACTGCAACAGAAGGTAAGTTTGAAAATTACTGATACAAGAGGCTTGCCGAACCTCAAAATGGTCTGCTGCAGTGAGCAGAAACTTAAAAAACATATTTTTACTTCATCGTCAAGTGATTAAATACCTGAAAGAATCGTGAAAAATGAATGTTGGAGGCTTCCCAAAATTTTGATTTGCCGAGGCATTTTTTACTACATGCCCAAACAATAACTAGAAATTTAAAAAACCGGCAGACGGGACGAAAATTAACATGAATTTACATCCAAAAAGCTTGTTTCCTGATATTCACAAACTTTGGCAATTATGATACTTCCTTAACCCGAAGAATTATCTAAAGGAAATACTGACAACTTCCGATAAAATGACACACTTGAAACGATCGCCAATGGATCAAGGTACTTGACGTGGTTAATTATTTATGTTAGGAGTCTATAGGCTTATAATGTTGAAGTGTCCTGGCTGAATAATAATAAATGACTACCTGTGTGAAGCATCGTGGCATGAATTGATATAACACTGAAATTAAATTAAATAAGTGGACAAAACAAATGGGAAACCTTTTGATACAAGTATGTGTACTATGTTCAAAGTGTAAGGTATGATGTTGCAATGTGAATTATATGAAGATATGTCAACCAATGGTAAAGTATCCTATAAAAAACCTTGGTAAGAAATGAAAAGATTGTTTACGTATATTGGACGTGGAAAATATTAATCAATAGACGTGTACGCTCGCTTTATCACGTATATAGCAAAAGTACTAATAGTAGTGCCTAAAATAAGTTGCGTAAAGATCCTTAATGTAGACCTGTTAGATTGCTATAGGAGAGCACCTTGAATTTTAAAACCAGCTTTTGTATCAATAGTTATGCGTGAAAAGAAATATACGGGACAAAATCAGAAGTGTTATTCAATGAACGTAAGATGATATTGTACTTAAGAAACGATGAAAAATATGATGCATCTAATAACGCATCTACTAATATTGTTTGAACACGTCTGACACAAACGCATAAAATGAACGAAATCGCCATAGACTTCGATTTGTGAAAAAAGCGTAACTTACTGACTTCACAAATTTACCAAAATCGGTTCAGCAATTACTAACACTGTCATAAAAAATTACACCTAAAATTAAACTAATCATAATATAGGAACACCTTCACCATAGCTTTGTACTTCCACCATTTACTGTTGTGGAGTTGAATAAAGATTGACTTGTTACCTCGTGATACTATTAATGATTACAAGGAAAAACATGGACACATTCTTACACTGTAGTATAGAAATTGAGTGTTTTGCTGGGTGAAATTGCTTTCTTATGCTTTTTCATTTTTTAATGGCATGTACTTTTATGTTCAGATATAATAATTACACACCACAAGAAGTAGATAATTCTGTTTTTTATTGAATATCTTGATTTCAGGTGCTAACATGCTGTGGAATAATCTGCTACAACCCGTTGGGAGAAAAAGTGATAAGAAACTAAACTATATTATGGAGCGGTTTGAATGCCCTACGCCAAATGCACCTTATTTGTTTACCAACAAAAACTCCAAAACATTTTTGGAAACTGGTCATCAATAGTAGACATGTCGATATATGCTAATAATTGTCTACTTTAAACACATCTGAAGGAATGTGATTTTGTAGTAGAGAAATGTCCGTCGAGTTTTGGATGGCTAAAAGGATACAGCTTCCGTATTAGGTGACCTGTTTTGAAAAGACAGGCAATGACATTTCCGTTATCACAAAAGATTTTGTAAATAATACATGAAGACTTGAAGTAAATAATGTGCTAAGTGCCAAAATTATTATTTCGAGATAAACAATACTTTTTGTTCTATAATCAATAAAATTAAAAAAACACTCCGAAAGTTAAACATAGGTTTATTCAAGTAAGTATTTTTCGGTGTATTTAATATTCTTGGTAACTTTTTGTAAAATCATAGAATGTGCTAAGTGCCATTAGAAAAACATAAATATTGTGGTAAATAATATCGAAAAAGACATACAAAATAGCTTCGTATGAATATTAGTATTCAATAGATCTTCATAAAATCATCTATTTTCTTCTTTCAAATGATGAATCATTGCCAGCCGATCTTGTTTTTTTTCAGAAATTCTACTTTGGCAGGTCAGGTTTGGAAAAGTCATTTCTGCGATAGTTTCAATAGTAAAGTAACATTTTTTTCAAAATCTTCGTTGTTTCCCAAGGAAGAAACCTTGATGCTAATGGATCCTGGATTTTCTCGGCTAATATTGATCCACAGGGCTTTCGAAATTTGAAGCTTGGATGTACTGATTGAACTTTCAGAAGCAACTTTAAAATCGACCTCACCGCTCATGGTTGTAACAAGAAATGGTATTTCTTTTACTGCTGCTATCATCCTTCTCACCAAATCCATAGGTACCTCGCATCACTCTTGCCTTTTTCGTTTTTCAATTTGGGCGAAATCCCTGACGCAGCTCATAAACGAATGATCCGATACTAGATATATTTGATTGCTCATCGAAATAGCTCTTGCAAACTAAATAAATCCATGAAAACATTAACATTTTGTTTTTATTTTGTCCTGCGCAGTTGTCGCTCCAGATTGTTAACTAATGCAATTTCGTTCCCTCCACGTCCTGTTATACCCTCGTGCCATAAACATATGAAGCCAGTTTTATTGTTCCCTAGGTGAATACAAAGCTTGTAGTTGGAGAGCAGTCGCATGTAGTACATCTGACTATCAGTTAGAGTTGGCAATGAATGATAAGACCTGCTCTAGGTGCATTAAAATTGTCATGGTGTCACTCGTGGGTTGCTGACAGCTTTTATGACCTTTTCTCATTGCTTCTACAGCTGCTTCAGCTTTCCTGTGGTGGAGTTCTAATTTAACTTTAGCATCTGCCTTTGTGGGATCTTTTGTTTGCATGTGCAGTAAATCACAGGTAGCACAGGTATCAGCTCTAGGATTACAAAAACTTAACTTGGGAAATTTGTCTTTGAGAATTTCAAAGTAAGAACGATAATTTACTGTTGAATCGGGATGAAACGCAGAGTAAAGTCTATTTATATTGAGATAGGGGCTCAGATACTGCTTCTCACTTTTTGAACGGTTGTAATCTCCCACGTCTCTGTGAAATTAGTTTATGTGATCAACAACCAGTGCTTCATCTTCCTGCGTGAACTTGCGATACAGCTGTTTATTACCTCTCCTGTCTTTGTAAACTGAATCTCCTCGATTTTTCAACTTAGCTAAAGTTTCAATTTGTCTCGAAGTTATTCCAAAAACCGCGTAAAATGTCTTGCTTTCTTCATTGGGCAAGGTGAAGGAAAACGTAGCCTGTCTCTTATTCTCTTCTGGTCTCTCATAGTTTCTATGCCTTCTCCTCTTCATAGCACATACGTGGATAACACTCATAGAATACGTATTTTCCCTTACATTGCCATTCACACCGTAAAATTCGTGAAAAAGCTTCAATTTTTGTTCATGGATATATTTTTACAGTTTAACTTGCACTGGCATAATACCTGAAACAAAGTGAATAAACTTGAAGAATCACAATTGAAAAATAAAAACAATGTTCGACTAACCTTGTTTTCAGGAGGCTGCTTGGCAGGAACTTTTTTATTATTTTTCCTTAAAAATATTCTTCTGTAGCACCTCTTTTTTTCTGTCGTTCCTTTTGCTTACTGCCCTGTCTAGTAGTAGTACCAGTATTAGTATTCATTCTTGAATTATTTTGAAACTATAAATGTAAACGAGATAAACAATAACAAGCACTAATTCAGAAAACAGCATGTAAACTGACGCCTGTAGCACAGAAACAAGGTTATATTTATTGGTACATTTTTACCGGCGGCGTCATGACCGCCCATATATAGCAAAATCCAGGGGGTAAACATTAATTCAAAATGGTAGCAGAAATAATATCTTCTATGTTGAGATCTTCCACTTCTTACCCGAGCATTGGGTGTATCTTATTAAGTATATTTCTCTTTGAATCAGGATCCAGCGGGGCATATTACCCCCTGCCCTCCACAATTGGCGCCCATTGGCGACATTATGGCGATTGACAAGCGGGCACTCTGTTAGAATTATTTCAGTACAATATAATAGCCATGCACATATAGCACTTAGCGCTTTATCTATGTTGTTGGTTATGGTACCTAGAACATTTTCCAAGCCTAAAGTGATAAACCGATTTTTTGGCACTTAGCACATTATTATTTACTTCAAGTCTTCACGTAGTATCAACTAGACTAAGCAACATATTTTATATTTTGCTCTGAAAAAGGCTATTGCATCCAATATACAGGATGTTTCGAGAGGAAGTGGATATAGAATTTTTTATATCTGAAAATGAAAAATTTGCAAAACCATTATTTACATATATACAGGGTCATTCATCTAAGCAACATTTAAATCACATATCTCGGCCAGTATTGAACCATTTTTGGTGGAACTTTGCACAATAACAATGTTACCTATGAGTAACGTAAAACTAGCCGGACGGTTGAAACATTCAGGGACGGACTGGATTTTTATAATTCTTTATATGTTATCAAAAAGAACACATTTTAGACAGCATATTGAAATATTTGGCTACGTACAAAAAATACAATAAATGGTGCTTATTAGTGAACAAAATACGTAGATATATTGCGCCTTATTAACTACAATTGTACTATGCCGAATTCCTCTCCGAACACCTTGTATAATAATAATAAAAAAGCCTTTTTTTCACCTGGCGGACAATCAGCAAATGCTGTTCTTCCATGCCCACCGGGGCTGCATGTATACAATATTCAAAAGGTAGCAATATACAAGTTAACATTTACAACAATGACCCATGGGGCATTTGAAACTGCAGGAACTATCAATTTCTGTTATAAGAAAATTAAAGACATACTGCGGAAAACTGTACATAATTGATCATAGTTCTGACATTGTTGCTAGTGGTGCTTATTGATCTCGAAGCCATCGTTGTAGAACATCACATGCATATGGCTCTAAAGATAGCACCGCTAGAAAAAACCTATATTATGTATGTATTAGTGAAATATGTTTTTGTGTGTGCGTATAATTGTTTACCACTAACACTCTGGGTTCACCTAGAATACTGAATATTTACAATTATTGTTCATCGTGAGTAAAGTTTTTTGTCCTTGTACATATAGGGTGAGGTTTTAGTGTGTAATTGGTTGATAGCTCCGTTATTATAAAATAAGTCGTTGTTAGAAAAATATAGAAAATACACGATCCTTACTTTTAACAAAAAAAATAATTGGAAGGTGATTGATATAGCATACTATAGCGCCTCCATATTTCATACTTTCCCGTCACTCAAATCTTTACGCCATGTATATTTTCACGATTTTGGATTATCATTCTCATAACCTTTATTAGGATAGAAAATTTTTGGGGGGTTTGAGTAACTCAATTTTTCAGTTATTTGCAGTTTCCGAAAAGTAATCAAGCCAAATCAATAAATTACATATGATCCCCATCCACTAGTAATGCTCCTTTCCACGAATCATGTATTGATTTATCTTGAACTGTAATTTTCAGACAACTGCGAATAAATAAAATCTTTGGTAACTAAGTCCCGAAAATTTTATAGCAAAATGCAAAAGTGATTAACTTACAAGTTGTTGACGTTTTTTTAGGACAAAATATGCCGTTGGTCTAGAAGTGGCGGTTGAAAACTTATAATGTGCTGTATATAACTTCTCCCTTTAAAAATGGATTTCAGGATATAAAAGATACAGGGCATCCAATTTAAAAAATCTTTCTTTAGCCACGTGGTTATTAATCACCATGTAGAGAGCGTCATATTATACAAGTAAGGAGTGTATATTTACCAACAGTTTTTGTAACTTAAATTTCTAGATATCTCTTAAAATAACGGAACTATCAACTGATTACATACTAAAACTTCACCCTACATATTTGTGCCATAATTGTACAGTATTTTGTAAATAAACCACTACCTCTCCTTAATGTTTTTTATGTTATCATCAAACATTTATACGAGTATTTCTTTCGATAAACCATAGTGGAATAAATTCACTGAGTTCATTCTGCCACTTGGTTTTTTCTAATGTTTAAAAACTGAGGTTTTTATTTAGATAGACAGACAAACCGACCGTAATGAGTCATATGGCTTTTCGTGGCGTAAATGTCATAGAACAAAAAATATACGAAATTATTCGCGATTACAATACTTTGCCGGTTGCCATGGGAAGTCGCTATAAAAGATCTTAATTCTTCGAAGACTGCAAATTTTGATAAAATATCCAGACGTTGCGATGGAAGAGATACTTGTTGTATGTCATAACCAATTTGTTCCAACTAGGAGTTTCTGACTTTCAGGGACCGTCTAATAGGTATATCCAAACATACTAAATAATATAGTTTGTCTAGCTGATCTGGTCCGGTGTAAACGACCGTTCCAAACTGTAAGAAACTCATTGTTGTAAAAAGCGAAACGTAAAGTGAGCTTCAAATACTATCAAAAAATGAACGGGTTCATACAAAGAGCTTCTTACGCGTTACTATTTTAGAAACTACCGGAATCACTGACTGTGAGTTAGGCTGTGAGTATGACCGTCAGTAACATTATATTGCAACTATAGACTTAGGAACAGCACATTGGAATTTAATGAAGTATTACTACCAGACGTTGCGAAGTATGTGCTTTATTTACAATCTAAATTGATTATTCACATATGTACAGCTGACTGTCAGTAAACAAGTGTATTGAACATGCCCTATAAACTACAATTATAATTTAATTGCCTTGATTGATACAATTGACCTTAGCTCTGACCCAAGTCGTCTTGAAATAAGTGATGGTATGTATTCATGCCAATAACATTTCGTTTTTGAAAAGTAGTTGAAGAGAAACATTAGTGCAGTACGTATCTTTACTTGACGGCTTAAAAAAGGCAAATTCGTAGCATGGGTGCCTCTTGTAATACATATTATGAAGCTCAACTAGGGTTATAGTTTTTATTTTAATTGTAACCCTACACTACGTGAAGAAGGTGCATAAAACGTTATTATAATTAGTTCCTTTCCTAGTAATATTTTACTGGCGTGTCGAATTGAAATCACATTTTTCGATCTAGTACCTCATTCTTATCTTTGTCTTGTCTGCCTATACATGAAAGCAAAAAAGTACTTAAAGGAAGTGGTGAAAAGAAAATACCAATAAGAAATAATAGCACAGAATATTATTCCGGGAAGGTGAACCACTTTAAATGCTTAGAAGTAACAACATGCCGTTGAAAGACTTGTAAAAATTTCACGGATTATTAAGGTATTTGGGAAAAGCTAAAACTTTTTTTCTGACTTTATTTCAAGGAATATAAAAAAAATTATCAAACTTGATCGTTGGCGCTTTTTAGTCACTATATGATGGTGCATTTAAATTTTGTTCCCGACGTTTCGTTTTTGAGAAACCATCATCAACTTTATTTGTTTATATGGTCCAAAAAAGTATACCCTGTATCTAATAGTGATAGTTTTTCCGATTTTTTTCAAGCAGGCGTTGCAAACAAATGCTTGACTTAACGTAAATACCTGTTACCGAATATTGTTATTATTGTGTACCGTTACTATTGCTTTATTATCGTCAAAGATGCCAGGCGGTTATTTTAGCACCGAAGAAAAGTTCGACATGCTGACGTGCTACAGTTGTGCTACAAAAAATACCGCAGAAATGTATCTTGATAAATTTCCCGAAAGAAGGCAGCCAAGTAAGTCCATTTTCTTAGAGTTGGTTTGAAATTTAAAATTCCTGTTACGTATCGAAAAAAAAAAGAATTTTTAGAGGAAATTTAGAAAAGTGTTTTACGAGTAGTTGCTGAGAACGCTGAGATATCAACTAGGCAAACTGAGAAAAATGTGTTAGTAGCCAAATCCACAGCCCCATTTATTTTGCAAGGAACGCAACAATTTCCTAACTTAACCTAAGCTGTATCTAGCACAAGTATTGAGATCCTCATGCATAGAATCCTTATTTTGGACACTCTGAATAATCAACCCAGCATTAAATAAAGAGCCTGAGCTCAAAAGGTCCGCTGGCTAGGACATGTTTATAAAATAGCGCCTGAGAGAAAAGTGGTACTGAGAGGAGGGGTCAGTAGAAGAGAAGTTTAAAGATGGAATGTTTTTAAGGTGTCAAAGAGGATAAACGTAATCTAGACTTACCAGACTGGGATGAAAGGACCAAAAACAGAAAAGCATTACAAGATGCCTTTTTTCGGCCTTTCACTCCAGCAAAAGTATTAATTACTTCTTTAGAGATAAAATTTCGAGACATGGAATGTTCGATGCAAAGAATAGCCAAGGTGCTTATCCCATAGAACTTCTTAAATATATTTCTATCAATTTCAGTTCAAAAAGGGTTGCTC